GGCCTTGCCTGCAGCCCTAAAACTGCTGCTCCCCTTTTTCGTGGAAGAGAGGCGGGGAGCAGAGCGGCAGGCTGCAGCCAGAGGAAGGATGAAGTCCTTTGATGCAGATGCTGCTAGTTGAGCATGGTTGTTTCCTCGGCGAGGGCCTTCTTTTCCTCCTCCGTAAACTAGTAGGCTGTGTCTAGACTGGCCAGTTTTTCCAGAAAATCAGCCGCTTTTCTGGAAAAACTTGCCAGCTGTCTACACTGGCCGACTGGCATGATTTTCCGGAAATGCTTTTAACGGAAAAGTTTTCCGTTAAAAGCATTTTAGGAAAAGAGCGTCTAGATTGGCAGGACGCTTTTCTGCAAAAGCACTTTTTGCGGAAAAGCATCCGTGCTAATCTAGACGTGGTTTGGTGCAAAAACGCCCTGATCGCCATTTTCACGATCAGAGCTTTTTGCGGAAAAGCGTCCATGCCAATTTAGACACACTTTTGGGGAAAAGTGTCCGTGCCAATCTAGACGCTCTGTTCCAAAAATGCTTTTAACGGAAAACTTTTCCATTAAAAGCATTTCCAGAAAATCATGCTAATCTAGACGCAGCCGTAAAGAAATCACAAGCTGCATTATTTGAAATAAAGACTCCAAGCCTGCTTTCTCAGTCTTTTGCCACAGAGACCTCAGGAGGTCAGAACAACAAGCAGCCCTCGGGCAGTTAACTGGTTAGAAACAAACTAAGGGGGGGGGGGACAGTTACATACGTATATAAAAGAACTGTGGAGTCCAACATAAGAATGGCTATACTAGGTCAGACCAACGGTCCCTCTAGCCCAGTATCCTGTCTACCCACAGAGGCCAATGGCATTGATGGACCTAACCTTCATGAATCTATCCAGCTCTTCTTTGAATCCTGTTAAAGTACTAGTCTTCACAACATCCTACATTAAATTAATGGAGATTGCCTATCTCCTAGAACTGGAAGGGACCTTGAAGGGTCATCAAGTCCAGTCCCCTGCCTTCGCAGCAGGACCAAGTACCATCCCTGACAAATTTTTTGCCCCAATTGCCTCCTCAAGGATTGAACTCACAACCCTGGGTTTAGGGGGGGCCAATGCTCAAACCACTGAGCTACCCCTCCCCGTCTGGCAAGGAGTTTTACAGTTGACTGTGTGTTGAATATGACTAACAATTGAGAGTGTACTTAAAATATCAAGTTAGCTATAGTTTAAGTACATGGACAATTTCTTAACATAATATTCAATACTTTTAAGATAGTTTCAGTCTCTCTCTCTCTCTCTCTCTCTCTCTCTCTATATATATATATATACATACATACACACACACTCCTCAAGAGTTGTGTATATATAAACAATGCTTATTTCCATCCCATTTTATCAGGTTATAGAAAAAAATAATTACATTTAAGAAAAGCACCAGGGGACTCAGACATATGTATGCATATAAGTGAATTTCTCTCTCTCTCAACAAAATTAATCAGGAAAGAAATTCGAGCAACTGAAGAGATAAACATAAACCTATACTATTACAGCTGAACAAAAAACTTACCAATCCTCACACAGAAGGTGCATATCAAGATCATAGCCTCTATTAGTTAGGTAAGCGTCGAATTTATCACCTAGGTCTAAACAAAGACATTAATTATCTTACCCATTACAAAGATAGCTTCCCCAATTATCACCTCTAATATCATTAGCTCACAGACATTTACCTCCCTTCCTCATCCCCCTTCTGTTCTGAAATTTGATTTGTCCTTTTCATGTGTGCGCATTTTTTTGATTGTATCCTTTGGTATATATGGTTGTGCCAATTTTCTTCCACTATTTGATCTGAGGAAGTGATTCTGGCCCACGAAAGCTCATCACCTAATAAACCATCTTGTTAGTCTTTAAAGTGCTACATAGTCCTGTATATTGGACAATGATTGTTTGATTCTATATTGCTGACAAAAAGACACTGCGGTAGAACAAACTGAAAGTCAGCCAAAACAAGGCTCTATCTGTCCCCAAACATCACAATACATTTAATTATTCTACTACAATAAAAGATCCCATTTAAAAAGCAACAATTTTTTCCTTAGTTTGGGTATGTCTACACTTGGATCCCTAGTTCGAGCTAGGTATGCAAATGTAGCCAACCAAAATTGCTAATGAAGCAGGGATTTAAATATCCTGTGCTTCATTAGCATAATCTCACCCCAGGGGTTTGATTCGAACTGTCCCAGGGCGCACTTCCTGGTTCAAATCAGCTGTTGGCGAGATTATGCTAATGAAACACGGGATATTTAAATCCTCACTTCATTAGCAATTTCAGTCAGCTATATTTGCATCCCTAGCTCAAACTAGGGAGCAAGTGTAGACGTACCCTCTGTTATTTTAATATAGATCTCCAATGTTTTCTGACATCTAACATGTAGGACCAGATTTCTTTTTTTTTTTTTAAAGTGCAAAACTGAAGGTCACTCAGTCATGAATTTAAAAGCAGCCAGTCTTCTACAAAGAAATTTCACTAATTACAGTCTGCAGAACTCTGAAATTAATCTTCAAATGCGACACTTACCTGGGCTTGAATAAAGACATTAACTAGTTGGCACATTACAAAGCCAATTTCTCCTGCCTTTAACATCCTCATTTTCGCAAAAAAACCTATGAATGGGATACATCCAGCCCACTTAATTAGCCTCATTAATATGGGTCCTACAACTGACAGGTACTTTTGCTGTTTATATTTGATATCTCGTTTTCTGGTATTTTCACTCTAATTCATCTGATGAAGTGGGTAGTACCCATGAAATCTCATGATTCTATACATTTTGGATAGTCTCTAAGGCCAGGTCTACCCTAAAGGTAAGATTGAATCAAAAGACAACTCCAGCTATGTTAATTATGTAGCTGGAGTTGATGCATCTTGTTTCAAATTTCCGTACCATCCCCGCAGCAGGTAGCCAACAGCTTCTGTTGGCTTCCCTTACTGGTCGCAGAAGCAGGAGTATCAGCTGCAGATGGGGGCACCCTCAGAGTTCAAATTAGCAAGTCTTAACTAGACCCGTTAATTTGAATTCCAGAAGATCTATCACATCAACATTGATCTTCTGTTAGTAAAGACATGGCTTTAGGTGCCACAGGACTACCCACTGCACAAAAAATAGCTATAAACCTGTTAATTTGAGTGTATGCACATTATTTAATATAATACAGAAGCCAAGAGTGCAGAGTAAGAGTATGTTCTGGAAGTCAAGCAAGCCCTTAATGTTACTATTAAACAAAATAAGACATTCACCAAACCAATAGTGAACCCTATGCATTTGTTACCATGTGAGGGACCAATACAGCCACCACTAAATGCAATGACATCAAGACTGCAAACACAGAGATAGCCAAGGAATACAAGCCAAACTAACAAAAGTGCTGTAAAAAGCAATTGCCACTACTGTGGAACTGCCAAATTTCACACCTAAAACTCACAAAATTAATCATGCATCAATATCCAGCACAAAAGGAAACAAAACTCATATTTGCCGAACCTAAGGATTGAATTGTTATAGTTAAGAATCCCAAAACAATCATGTCCAAATTATATATCCAGGATAAGGGCAGAGAGATGAGAGGTCTTATGCTTACAGTTATACCTTCCTTGATTATATCATTTAGGCCCCATTCCTCCTGCGACATATATACACACTTAACTTTACACAACAAATAGTGCCATTCATTTCAGTAGGACTACTTCACAGTACATAAAATGAACTGAAACATCTTGAGTTTATGCAGGCCTAGGTCATTAGTCTTTCTGTGCCTCAGCACACCTTTCTGTAAAATAGAGATAGCAAAACTTCCCATCTATAATATATATTGTAAACCTTGAGACAGGAATTAACTCTGTATCCCATGCTTAGCTTTATGCATTATAATAAGCGACTGGTAAATCAGTTCTTTAAAGCTTAATTCTAACTATCAAGTAAAGAACTTATTATAAACCCATTCTGAAACAATGGTAAAAAATGGCTAAAATATTAAACCTGCCAAAACTGGACAGAGAATGCAGTCACACCAGTACAGTTGAACATTGCTATTATAGATGAATAATAGGAAGTTATACAGCATATATTGTGTACATAAACCCCATCTAATTGGATGGTGAGTGAAACCCAACAAGGTGACTTTTGTACTACATGACATACTTGAAGTTAAGAGATCCTTTTGCAAGTGACATAAGAGCTTTATAGTGTAAATACATAAGAAAGAGCTCTACTGTTTTTGCTAATTCAAGAGGATCTAGAATAAATGGCATTATTCCACTCTAACAGTATATATTTTTATTTATACCACATTAAATGGAAGAAACATGTATGCCACTCAAGGACAGGCACAAGATAAATAATTTGAATTACAGAGCAGTTTGATGCTTGCAGGTAAAACCATAAAGTGTAACATCTATCCAGACACATTCAATAGTGTTTTACAATATCATACATTTACAGATTGAAGAGTCCTCCATATCCAAACGGTTCCTTATATAGAAAGGCCTCTACGTCTATTTGAAAAACATCCTAATATAGAGCGTAGCTCGGATTTTCACAGCATAAGTATACATCTGAGACTTACAAAACTAAGACGAACATAAAATACAATCAGAAGACAAAGAATTGATTACCAAAACTTACAACCAAACAATTTGTGTCAGTGAGAACAATGCTGTTAGAAACCTTTAGAACATGACTAAAATGAGACTCTATTCATTTAGCAGAGAGCCAAAACAGCATCAGGGAAAAATGCAAAGAGCCGCACCAGAATTGTCAAGCAAAAAAAAGAAAAAAAGCCCCCCAGAACAGAATTGTCAAGCAAAACCAAAAAAATAAAATAAAATAAAAAAAAGGTGGCTGCCCTTTTAAAACAGCCACCATCTTGAGCACCACTCCCTCAAGAGCCCATGCAGCTGCAAGGCTTGGAGCAACAGCTCTGGCTTCTGGGCACTTGGGAGAGGGGCAGGTGAAGAAGTTAAAAGTGAACTGAATAGTACGTTTGTGCCTTTTTCAGTTCCTCTAAGACAAACTTTAAAGCTTCCTTAGAGAGTTCTCCTGTTTTTATTTTTTTTAAACTACACTCTTGGCAAACAGATATGAGGAGTGTGGGAGAAAAATCTATTTAGAATAGAATAGGCCCTGACTTCTTTTTGCTAAAAGATCCAAACATTTGGTGAACTGAGAAAATGACCTCACATAGACTGATACATTAACTATCGCTCTTGGAGCACTCATAATTCACTTTCTGAATAGGTATTGACATTTCTATTAAAGGTTGGGAAAGCAACAGTCCAGATTTTAGCTTGTTGAGAGATCAATGATCCCCCAGAAATAGGCAGTGTCCTCGAACATGAGGAGGAAGTGTGAAAGAAAAGCAGCAAGAGTTCTCTTTTAGAAGAAAAAGTTTTGTGCAGATGTCTTTTATCCGTACCACAAGCACCAGTAAAGGAACACAAATTTTGTTCTATTTTGCCATTTACTTTTAGCTAGCAAACACCATCCATACAACTGTACCAACACTAGATTTCAACACAGTAAATGAGAGTAGGTATTTATTTGCACTTGTCGCCCTTACATAGAGATTTGCTGGAAAACTGGCATTTCACCACAACAGCATGTCTTTACAGTTATCCAGAAATCCACTAATCATAGTCTATTTTGATTTGTGTAATAACGTCAAGGTTTGGTTTGTCTCCACCACTCCTTCCATGAACTGAAGTCAAGTGCTTTTTTAGGGCAGATTTGTGTTTAAAATCCATGTCACAACAATGGCATTTGTAAGGTCTGTCCCCACTGTGAATATTCAAATGGTCCTGAAGTGTGCTTTTAGCAGTAAATGTCTTCAGACAAACCATGCATTGGAATGGGCGGATGCCCATGTGCCCTCGGATGTGCCTGTTGAGATTCTTCTTTTGGGTAAATGTTTTCCCACACTGTAAGCATAAGAATAGTTTGTGCATTTTTAGGTGTCTCAGATAGTTTTCAAGGTGGACAAATCCTCTGGGGCATTTAGGACACTGGTGCCGCCATGAATAACCAGAATCTTCCAGACTCTGAAATCCACTCATTACACTGGAGGTTCCTTCTGTATTGTCACTGACAAACCCCTGAAAATGATTCCCAGGCATTTCTGTAATTCTGTTCTCAACAGTAGAATTTATCAGTGAATGTTGCGTTTCTGGAAAATATAAGCTTGTTTTAGAGGAGGTGCAAGGCTGCGGAAAATGATCATTGTCCACATTATCTATGCTCATGGAATCCATTCTGAAGATACAAATTTCATCATCTTTATATCCTATTTCGACTGTGGAAATCTCTGGCGATTTCATGTCCTTTCTTTCCGATATTAAGCTTTGCATTGCTGGTTGTAAGATATCCCCTTTCTCCTGTTTTACATTATATTCTAATGTAACAGGGCTATCTTCAGAAATTTCAATTATTTCACAATCTTTATCTAAACTGTCATCTTTATTTCTCAGTCCAGTATCAGAGGAATGGCATTTCTCTATATTCTGATTACTATTCTCCATAGATGCATCAATTTCCAGATATTTAGATAATGCTTCGGTACATTTCTCTACAATGTGGACCATCTGAAGGTAACTTGCAGCAGTGAGATACTTCAAAAGCTCTTTCTTTTTAACCTCCAGAGCACCAGTATAACAAGACAACAGTAACTTTCTGCCAACTTCAGCACTCTGCAATATGGTGATTCGCATCTGTTTCGACTGATTGAGCAAAAACTGATCCCTCATAAATGTGGAGCAGGCAGCAAAAATCACCTTGTGTCCATGAAACTCAGTGTCATTAATATATATTGAAACGTCACAAAATAAGTTCTGCTGTCTCAAGAGGTTCATCTTTTGCAGCACGGAATCCCCTTGCTGTTCAAACTGGAAATGGAGTACATCCGAGTCTGTAGCCATGTTGACAACCTGTGGGAAACACACACAAACAGAAAGGTTACAATTCAAGCATATCAGCTTTCGCCGTCTCCACCATCCCATCCGACGTTTTCTGAATACAAGTTTCACTGTCACCAGCGAAGGCGGCACCACGACATTTGCCAACAGCGAAGGGGTGCTTATGCAGAGCGTGGCTTGAAAGCTGACTACGGGCCGGCAACGGGCCAGGTTTCGTGCCCCAGTCTAGACAGGGCTCCCCAGTAAGAGGCGCCGCCGGCAGCCAGCATCCCTGCG